ACATGTTATACTTGTTTAGAATTAATAGAAACGCAAAAAGAGTAGAAAGAGAAGAGAGAGAACAGAAAGAAAGTTAGTTGCAACTGATTTTGTATTTCACAAATGTTAATCTCAACTTAAGATAAGATTGAGTTTTATATAGTGAAGTTATCCAGTCTAAACTTAACAGTTTAGCTGCTTACAAGTATAACCCTTAGTCAATTTTTACTATGTCATATTTGTATTACTCTAATATTTTTCCCTCAAGATGAAGGTCTTGTTTGCAGCAGAGACACTTTAACATGAACTTGAAGCTTAGACCTGAGTTGTAGGAACCTTAGGGGAGAAAGAGGTTTTGTGAGCAGATTTGCATACTGGTCAAATGCAAGAACATGTTGAACCAGTAAAGTCTTGCTTAAGACTTTTTTCCTAAGGAAAAATATGTCTAGTTCCATATGATTGGTTTTGACATGGAGAATAGGGTTATGTGATCGGGCAAATGTGCTCAAGTTGTCACAAAACAGCATAGGAGTAGTAAAAGAAACATGAAGATCGGTTAAGAGGGATTGAATCCAAAGTATTTCTGAAGCTGAGTTAGCAAGAGTTCTATACTCAGCTTTTGTACTGGATCTGGCAACAAGGGTTTGCTTTTTGGACCCCCAAGAGACCAGATTTAAGCCAAGAAAAATACAGGACCCAGAGGTGGATCTCCTGTCATTAGGATCAGATCCTCAGTTTGCATCAGAAAACCCTTTAATGGAAACAGGTGCATGAGTAGAAGTAGGTTGCAGCAGGAATCCATGATGCAAGGTTCCCTTTAAATACCTGAGAATCCTCTTCACATCTGTCCAATGACTTTCCAAGGGATTGGAAAGAAACTGACAAGCTTTATTCACAGCAAAACTAATCACAGGCCTTGTGAGAGTGGCATACTGCAAGGCTCCAACAACAGACCTATAGAAAGTAGGATCTTGAAGTACATTTGTCCCGTGTTTGGACAGTTTGAGACTAGTAATCATAGGAGTGGGCAGCCCTTTGGATTCATCCATATTTGCCTTGGAGAGCAGGTCCTTGATATACTTTGCTTGAGAGAGAAACAGAGAACCATTGGCATGATGGATAACTTCAATGCCTAGAAAATACTCAAGGGCGCCAAGCTGCTTCAAGGCAAATTAAGAGTTGAGCTTTTGAATGAGTTGTTGCATGTGAGGTTGAGAGTTGCCCGTGACAATAATGTCATCTACATAGACTAGTATGTAGATAGTATATGTGGGAGTAATGAGTGTAAATAGAGAAGGATCACACCTGCTTGAAGTAAAACCAAATTCCTTTAGAGCAAGGTGTAACCTATCAAACCAGGCCCTAAGGGCCTGTTTAAGCCTGTAGAGAGCTTTGTTGAGCCTGTAGACCATGGCAGACGCATCAGTTTTAAAGCCGGGGGGTTGCTCCATGTATACTTCCTCTTGGAGAATGCCATTTAAGAATGCATTGTTAACATCCAGCTGAGTGAGACACCACCCTTTTAATATAGCAATGGTTAACACTACTCTCACTGTGACAGGTTTCACAACAAGTGAAAATGTCTCAGTGAAGTCAAAAATATGTTGCTGATGAAATCCCTTGGCTACTAAACAAGCTTTGTATTTATTAACAGTCCCATCAAAATTTTGCTTGATCCTGAATACCCATTTGCAGCCAATGGCCTGCCTGTTGGGAGGTAGAGTAGTAAGAGCCCAATTGTGATTCTTGAGAAGAGCATTGTATTCCTCTTGCATAGCAGTCACCCATTTGGGATCTTTGAGAGCAATTTTGTATGAGGAAGGTTCAAGCTCAGTCAGGAGCAAGGTGGGGTGCTTTCTTGGTTGGACTATACCATTCTTACCCCTGGTTGTCATGGCATGAGTATTTTTGGGGTGAATAACAGGGAGAGCATGGTGAGAGATGTCAGGAGAGGGTGTTGATGAGTTATGAGAGGCAGATTCATAGATTTGGACAGGACTGAGAAAAGATGAATGGGAAGAAGAGGATGGCGAGGCAGGGATAGATGATAGACTTGATGAATGAGGGATGATAATGGGGAGGTACATGATTTTGTACCTTGGGAGAAGTAAGTCCAAGAGGAAAAGGAGAGGCAATAGAGCTGGGAACAGAGGTGTTAGAGGAGACTGCAGAAGAAGCAAACAAGGAAGTATAGGGAAACCTTGTCTCATTAAAAATAACATCCTTAGAGATGTAGATTCTGTCAGTGGGAGTCAAACACTTATACCCCTTATGATTGGAGGAATATCCCAGAAAAATGCATTCTTGAGAGTGAAAGTTGAACTTGTGAGTAGAATAAGGTCTAAGGTGTGGAAAGCATGCACAGTCAAAAGCTTTTAAAGACTTATAGTCAGGAACAGTGTTGTAGAGCGTGAATAAGGAGATTTCATCTCTAACAAGGGGTAGGCATTTGTTAATTAGATAAGTTGCAGTCAAGCAAGCATGATCCCAAAACTTAAGAGGAAGGCTTGCTTGAGCAAGCAAGGCAAGCCCTGTTTCCACTACATGCCTATGCTTCCTCTCAACTGAACCATTTTGATGGTGTGTGTGTGTGTGGACAGGCAAGCCTATGTGCAATGCCTTTGGAGTGAAATAGGGAGATGAGTGATTGAAACTCCCCCACCATCAGTCTGAACTGCCTTTAAACAGGTTGAGAACTGAACCTCAATGGATGTGATAAAGTTTGAGTGTGAGCAGCACTTCAGATTTTAGCTTGATAGGAAACACCCAAGTATATTTAGAATAAGCATCAACACAGGTAAGCAAATATTTATAGCCACTACTGGAATCCATAGGAGTTGGGCCCCATACATCAGCAAACGGCAAATCAAAAGGTATATTGTAATTTGTGAGTGAAAGTGTACTAGGCAATCTGTGTATTTTCCCAAGCAGCAAGGAGCATAAAAATCCAGGCGAGACTTATGAGGCACATAAATGTTGCATAGTTACAGAATTGACTTCAATGCTTCATCGTGAGGGTGACCAAGCATGTTGTGCCACATAGTATAAGCTGAGGAACAGGGCATGGTTGGTTGCACAAATGCCTTTGACACATTATTTATAGAGGCTGGAGGCTTTGAAGCAGACTTCGAAACTGGTTGTAGTGAGCCAAAAGTGTACAAGTCATCTTTATTAAGAAACCCTTGGAGCACAATGTTGGAATCACCCTGTGTTTTGACAAAGCACCTATCAGAATGAAATTCAAAGAAGACATTGTTGTCTTTGGCAAACTGACTCACAAACATCAAATTTTTGGTAATGTGAGGAACCAGCAAAAGACTTTTGAGAGTGAGAGGTGTGTGTGCTTTGCAAGGTGAATTGAAATAAGCAGTGCCAATATAAGTAATGGGCAAACCTTAGCCATTACCAGCTAAAACTTGGTCAGTTCCAGGTAGAGCTACAGTCTTAGACAGATAATCAGCATTATTAGTTACATGATGTGTAGCACCTGAATCTGGATACCAGAGTGAAGCCTGCTGTGTGAAATTAGTTGGTGCTAGAAAGCATGTCCTAGTGAAGTAAGCTTGTGACTGATACATGGAATTTGGAACAAAACTAGGAGGAGGGCCTTTGAGGCCTTGAGAAAGCCATTGATTCTGCACAGGAGGAGCAGGAAACCATTGATTGTAGCCACTTGGTGCAGGAGGTTGAGATATAACATGGTTAAGCCATTGGTTCCATGTTGGTCTTTGTGATGTAGGCATCAAGGCATTGTGTCTATGATAACAGATACTGGCATCATGCCCTGGCTTTGCACAGATTTGACAATAAACTCTGTTTCTGCCACCACTTTTGCCACCTTTGCCACGATTATGCCTTCCACCACGAAAACCTCCACGATTTTCACCATAAGAGGGAGTTTCAGAGTACTGCATCACATTGGTGGAGTCAGGGGCGACTTGAGGAACATTGTTGACCACACCAGCAGGTGTAGCTTGAGCTACATTGACAAAAAGAGGCTCAGATAGTGGCTTTCTTTGATTTTTCCAGCTTTGCTTCATGAGCAAGAAGCATTGACTCTGCCTCAATAATAGGACACAAGATTGCACGATACTGGATAATAAAGGCTAGGACATTATATTCCTCTAGCAATCCATCAAGAATAGCTTCAAGTTGATCTCGATGTGAAATAGGATCATCAATTGATTCAAGAATATCAACAATCCTTTGGATGCGAGTAAGATAAGTAGTAATGGATTTATCACCTTTGGTTATGGACTTCAACTCCGAACGAAGTTGTCGCGATTTCGCGTTCGTGTGAGCGAAAATATATTGATGAATTTCGTCCCAAATTTGGTGAGAATGGACGCATCAAATCACGCGAGGAAGCACAGCATCGGATAACGTGGTGAGAAGCCATGTAAACAGCAGTGAATCTTGCCGCTCCCAAATGAGAAACTCAGGGTTATTCTTATCGATGACGCAATCATGATCGAAGAGATATCGCGGTGAAATAATCGGATTAACTAGTAAACAGTGAAGACGCTGCGTTCGAATGATGCCTTCGATTTGCTGCTTCCATGATCTGAAGTTATTTTCATCAAGTTTCAGTGTTACATGTTGCATAAACATTTTAAACACATTTTTCAAGTTGAAAATGGACGATACACTGTCGCGAACCACCGCGCTTTGAACAGTGTTGTCAGAATTGTCGCTATCAGAAGTCATTAAAATGGATCAAGAAGCTCTCGATACCATAAGAGAAACGCAGAAAGAGTAGAGAGAGATGAGAGATGAAAGAAAGTTAGTTGCAACAGATTTTGTATTTCACAAATGTTAATCTCAACTCAAGATAAGATTGAGTTTTATACAGTGAAGCTATGCAGTCTAAATTGTTACTCAACAGTTTAGCTACTTACAAGTATAACCCTTAGTGAATTTCTACTATGCTACATTTGTATTACTCTAATAAGAATAACGTTTGTGTCATATCTTCCCCACACATTTGCCTTTTCATGTTGTTAAGAAATATATAAAGGTAAATGCTGCCTTATCATCAAAATTTCCAAACTATATACTGTTCAATATCCCTAGCAGAAAAAATCAACATTGCACTATGTTGCATGATCTTCATAATTTACAACAAAGCCTCCAGACAATCCACCAATCCAACAAGGCAACAAGATGACACAAAGAAGGTGATTGACAGCAGAACCCAAATAGTGATACAGATGTATCACATACCGTACATATATGAGAAACATAGTTGTTAGTGGTGACAAATGAAGAGCAAGATACCTGCAAAAGTCGACAACTAACTATAAGAATCTAAATCACCCGACCAAATCTAATCACAATTCACCTTCATAGTTGTAGCTTCAAGACACGGGAAAGACTTCAGATTCAACTACCATATATAATCTCATGAAAACAATAAAGAAAATAAATATGAACATGTTTTTCCATAATTTATTAACATAATTACCTATTTTATAGCTCATATGATTGGATGGAAAAAAAATATGGAAGCACCGGCTCAAATGAACATATACATATCCCAATGACGATAACTTTACTAACCTGGGAATATCTGAAAGAAAACAGATTGTTGAAGTGAACTAGTATGTTGTATATCCCATATGATTGGAAGGAGCATACTACAAACTGATAACTGGTGTACTGCTTTACTCTTTAAAAATTTAACAACGCATTTGGGCCTGCATATTTTTAATAAAAATTTAAAAATTGGTAAGTTGAGATTTGAGCTTTAATATATTTAGACAACCAAAGGAAACCCTAGAAAAGTGCAACTTAAAATTGCAAATTTTTCAGTAATGTTTTGAACAGTGTGTTACAATAGAAGAAGGAATGCACTTAACATTAGGTGTAAGCGTTCACTTATACCATCTAATATTTTGTTATTAAACACATAATTAACTAGATCAACTATTGAATCAGTGATATTGACTTAATCATGCATTCCAAGATTTAGATAATTTAGTGGATTTGTATGTATGTAATACAATAATAGATACATTTTTTGACATATAATAATAGATGTTTACTTATATTTTGAACGGTATATTATACATTAAAGTTAAATGGTTCAATAATGTAACGATTAAATTTTGAATTTATGAAATGTTGCAGACTAGATCTACTTGGAACTTTCACTCCCAAAGTTGATTTTATAAAACTTAACACTCGTGGAGTTATTGAAGTGTCAAAGCGTGTCCATACTTACAGTTGATATAAATAAATCCCTAGTTACTTTGTTCACTCATGATAAAAGAACACCTAAACCCTATATTTGTCACATTTAACACAGAATTTAAACCAGAATAAGAACTTTTTGTCCGTGAATTTCATGTCTAAAACAGGTAGAGAACAACTGGTTGTGAATGTCACTCTCTTACATATGCTATGGTTTTATCTTTGCAAATAATTCTTGTACTCATTTAAAATGCATTCAGCAGACCTGACAACGGAAAAACTCAGTAACAAACCTTGGCAGTGAATATTGTTTATTTCTGGCCCTTTCATCTCTATCCCATTATCATCAAGCAAAACAATCCCTGATGAAGTAATGTCAAAAGGGAAAGCCAAAGGTGGTGAAATTGGAGATTTCGCCAGCTTAATAAACCTTTGACCTGCTAGAAATTGAGCATCTGAAATTCAAATTGGTAACATTAACACAATCATTCATATCAATAATATATGGTGATTGACACATCGGGATTTGACAGAATATTAAGAATCTCAGGTTAAATGGTACTCCTGAACTAAGTTGTATACTTTCTGTGTTCGTTAGACCTTAGCATTTGTGAAAAAACGGAGGTTTTTAGGTGGGCTTTTTACTTACTGGAATATCCCTACTCTTGACCCAAATAACTTTGATGTATTTTTAGTTTGGCTTTTTACTTACTGGACTATCCCCACTCCAACCATTTGAGTTAAGTGGCATGTACACAAACTTTCGTTATTTGTTACAAAATAATACATTTAAAATCAAGAGGGCACATATCGCTGCAAATTAACCAACCTGATTTGGATTCAAGTACAAGACGGATGGTCACGGCATGAGCCCAATTAATTCCCAAAGCAGCAACAAGATGAGAGTCAAATGTAACGGGAATGTCTTCTTTTGTAGGGCGGCTTTGAGCTGCTTAACATGTCCCATGATATGTTAAACTCTAGTTAAAGCTATCCAAAAATAATTTGTTCAGCATACCTTGAAAGGAATACATGAGAGATTCATCACCCATTTGAGATCTTACTTGATTTGTCAATACAATTGGAATTCGTGAAAATTCAGCAAGTGACCTAATCATGTTCAAAATCAGAACTGCCTTTAAGAAGAAACATGTAACTCCACTTCGCTGAAATCTCACAAGTGCTTCTTACTTGATAAAAGAGACGTGCCAACCCAATGCTTGTTGCCTAGAAGCCCCGCAATCATGTTCACTGAAAAGAAAAGGTGACCGATTTCTATGCATCATGAGACATTCATGAATAGGAGTATATCATAAGAATGATAATCGGCAACATCCAATTAGGAGGAAGTGCCCCAGCTTTTGAATTAGTTAAGACAATTACAGTGTAAACAACTATCGAACTATTGTTCAGATAATTAGAGTAGGGAAAAGAAGACGAGAGAGGAGAGAGAAGGCATTGATTGTACATTATTGTGGAGAGTCTGGGTCTCTTGAATACCAAGGGTTGTACTGTTTGCTGTACCTACTACACTAGCCTAGTTGGAAGAGATGATGGCAGAGAGATGCACACTGGGTTGGAAGCAGAAAGGGCTAGTTTGTATCTGGATGAGCATTGGAGAAAATTGGTAATGCTCTACTCTTAAAGAGGATTAAATTTCCCTTTAAGGTTGAGGGAGTATATCATCTGACAGGCACAGTAAAGAGATGAGATGTTGGTTAAATTGAAAGGAAAATTTCTCAAAGTGCGAGACCAGTGGAGAGAACAGGCAAATAACCAATGGAATGCAGTGGACTTCCAAGTAGGCAATTGATTATTTCTGAAGCTGCAGCTTTACATTACAAAATGAAGTCATTAGCTACCACCCAGTCTTTCAACTCTCCTTGTTAAAGAAAGCCTTAAGCACAAATCAGCAGGCCAAACCTCTGAAAAAATATGCTATCAAATAAAACAAGAGTTGAAGGTACCACTAGTAAAGTTGGTTGACGTAAAGAAAATTCTGCAGGTGAATTGAAGGTGTTGAACAAATGGTTTCATTCACCAGATTGGGAGAATAGTTGGGAACCTGCAGCCAGCATTGTTGGCTAGTTGTTTTGTTACACTGTAACTGTTTTATTTAATTCAAAAGTTGGGATCCTCTGCTCTCCTTCTATTTCTCATCACATTTACCATCCTTATTGGACGCTGCTCCTTTTCAAAGAATGACTATAACTGATTTGAAGAGAGCATCTTTGACTACATGCTTCACAAACATTGCCAAAAAAGTTTAGCTCACCCTAAAACGAGAGCAGCCATGCTATCAATGATAAGCAACTTCACTTGTTGCTGGAGGAGTGATACTTTGATCCGGTGCAAACTGGTGATGTTAAAAAGATTATGTCATACAGTAATCTTACATAAACTTAGAATAAGAAGGAAGAATAAAATAGGAGATGTGATAGATTCTGTCTCCATAATCAGCAACATGCGACATGCAGGAAGTAATAAGTATAACACCAAAAATTAGCAGATCAGTTTAGAGTGTTGTGAATCGGAAACAGACTTCAACCCTAAAAGAAACACAATTGGCATATCCAATCTAAGGTTTTTTTTTAAATGTGGCCGCAATTTAGACCTCGGCGTCAAGATTTTGTAGGTCTGCAGTGACAATTGACGCTAGATCAGCAGCATAGTTTAAAACTTAGTAAATCAGTTTAGAGTATCACGAATCAGAAACAGACTTCAACACTAAAAGAAGCGAAATTGGCATATCCAATCTAAGGTTTTTTAAAATAAGTGGCCGCAATTTAGAACACGATGTCAAGATTTTGTAGGTCTGCGCAGCGACAATTGATGCGACATCAGCCGCATATTTTAAAACTTAGCAGATCAGTTTAGAGTGACACGAGTCAGAAACAGACTTCAACACTAAAAGAAACACAATTGGCATATCCAATCTAAGGTTTATACAAAAATGTGGCCACAATTTAGACCCCAACATCAAGATTTTGTAGGTATCCGCAGCGACAATTGAGGCTACATCAGCCTCATAATTTAAAACTTTGGTCAAATCCACTTCTAAACTAGTGATCAACTTCGCTCGCAGAATTCCTGGCCACTGATAGAGCTCTTTGAAGAGATTATAAATGACAAGTATAAATAACAATTAAATTTTTGTTAACATGCATTTCTTTCAGACCAAGGACAAAATGGTCTTGACAGTTGGTGTGATGTATCATTAAGCTGTTTCAACTGAGGAAGAGAACAAAACAAATATTGAAACAAAATAAAGATACTGACTAATCCTACACAGTAAGAATTGCCCGAGACTTATTAGTTATAAGGACTAATTTGGCATATCTTTAGTCGACAGTGAGATATCAATATACATCCTCACACCCAGGGCCGGGTATCTAGAGCATGAGTGGATCTCTATGTCATTTCATTTCACACCTAGGATTGGAGATCTACAGCGTAGGCAAAATAAGTGGTCCAATAGCATATCCAAGATACGCTTAATACCATTTTAAAATTTAAACTAGGCCTAACTCAACCCTAAAAGCAAGTTCAACACCTAAGGATTGCCCAAACCTCGTGAAGACTAATTCGGTTTTATTTATAGTTGATGCAGAATCTCAACAATATCCTTTGAATGAGATTTGGGATAAAAGAAACTATCTCAACACACAACATCAAGTCATATGAAGACTCTCACCTCTCAGCAAATTCAGAAAGTGATGTAGGACGCAAGATCAGGATTCTACCGGCCATCTGTGACATGTTAAGTAAAAACAAACACATCATGTTCCTACCTCCTTGATATAATCAAATTCATATTAGACAGAAAATCTATACAAAAAAAAAGAGACATGGGAAAAGAAAAGAAGAAGCAGTCTACACACCTCCTGTGCCATTCCCTTCTTGTGAAATATTTCAGGAAAACTCTTTGTTCCAATCTCTATCAATCTAGGCAAATAAAAAGTACACTCACTAGTCGAAGATTCTAATATTTCTTTTAAAAAATCAAATCATTTGACAGTAAATAGTATCATTATATTGAAACTGCTCGATGCAAAAATACAATGCATGCATGCTTCAACTACCTTTTTGAACTAAATTTAGATTCAACGTCAATATATATCACCCGGCCATCTAAGCCTCCAAAATTTGCCGGTAACGAAGCCAACAATGAGAGCTTCAAGCAAAACTACAATATAAAACCCACCCACTCTGATAAACTGTTAATGAAAACATTCACAAACCTTACCAAAATCAACATCCTATAAAAAAAATAAGCGTTAAATGTCATATAACATAAAACCAATAATTCACCTGTGTTTTTCCAATTCCTGGTGGACCAACCAATTCTGTCAAAACACCAAATGGTATACCACCGCATAAAGCTTCATCCAGCCCTTTCAAACGAGTGGGAAGATGACCAGCCAAGCTTTCATTTCGTACTCGTTGCTCCATCAGAAGTAACGCCTGTCACATTATTATCACAATACTCAAAAATTTCAATCAAAAAATTGAAAAGAAAAGAAAAACCCTAGATGAAAGAAAGAAGAAAATGTGTGTGTATTGCTTACAGTTTGACAAGGTGGACACACGACTTCGCTAATGTGCGCCATTGCATATGCTACTTCTGCCATCCCAACATCCAACAACTCCATCAATTCAAATTCAGTCAAAGATAATGCATCCTGCGGTTTTTTCAAAATAAATAACAAATAATTGAATTAGTGATACAAATTCGAGATTATAATCAGCGAAAATCACTACTATTTAGGTCATGGAGATTACGATCTGAATGCTAATAGAAAGGGATGATTCGAATTTGAGCATGAATTACAAAAATGAAAAGCGAAAGAAAGGGAAAAGGGGATTAGCGACGGCTGGTATTGCCTTGGCGGTGATGATGTTGCGAGCGGTGAAGATGTTAGCGATGGATTTAGGTAAACCCATCTGGTTGATGAGCTTGTTCGCCATTTTGCGTTGCGTTTCTGAACTCTGTTGTTTCCCGCCAAAACCAGAGGGTTTTGTTTTGGGGGCAAAAACGATAAGTGTTCATTATTTGGTTTCTCCTGTCTACCAAACGTGGATAATGGGAGAATTTGTATACACTTGCAATTAAAACCCGGTAACTCCATTTTTTTTCATACTACCACAAATATTTCTCAGCAAAAAATCATGTAAAAAATTTGGTTTGTACGCTCTTATACCTTGTTAATTATTTCTTGTGAAATTTTCTTTTTTATTTTCAGAATTTGGAAATGTATCTCCGAACGCATCATATTTCATTTTTCTGAGATAATTTCGGAGATACATTTTCGAAGTTACGGAAAATTATTTTTTTAGGTAAATTCAGAAATGTATTTCTAAATACACCTAATGAACTATTTCGGAAGTATATTTCCGAAATAAACACTAACTGATATAAAAAACAGAAAAATTGAAACATAGAGACACCAAAACAGAAACCTTGAAATATAGATATAATATATAAGTTGAAACATTGATATTACACGGATATTACATAAACAATAACATAATTAAACATTGAAAGTCGAAATTACATAGATATTGAAACATAAATTTAACATTACATATTGTTATAAATGAGTAACTGAGGATGTCGCGGCATTTTGATAGCATCTTCAGCGGATCTCTGAATTTTTGCATCTAACTCAATCGGACCCTTAGTAGAGTATTGACGAAAACTAATCCAAATAACCTATAAATCATCATTTGTCTTCAGCTCAAACTTGGTGAACTTAACTTTTCCATCGGTGTCAAGTGATGGTGAACGATATTCGACCTTGACTATTCTCTGATTTTTTGGATATTACAAGAGAGAGTTGAGTATGGTAATGAGCTGGCAAAAGGCGTATCCTCGCAGAACCTAAAGTGAAATGGCGGCATTGCACCATTGAAGTAGACAAAAGCAAGGTGAGGATACATTTGTGTCATATCTAATTTGTGGTGTGTGTGATATATGATTTGTGGTGTATGATGTTGAAGAATAAGTTTAGGACACCCTATTCATAGAAGTTTTTGAGCAATGTGGTCCTAAGAATTCTTATCATGTATCAGGGAATTTTTTGGATATACACTTCTAAAACAACCCCTTATAATTTTAAAAAAAGAAAGGTGTTTTCAAAAGTATAGTTCTGAAACATTCCCTGATTGTTTTTTTTTAAATAATTTGAAAATGTACTTCCGAATTATGGAGAGATAGAATAAGAAGTTGGCAGAATTAATATCATTCAAAGAGAAATTCATAATTTAATCGGAAAAAGTATAAATCGGTAAATTATATAAATTAATAAAATGTTTAATAGATATATTATATATGTATTGAATCGTGTAGATACATTCCAAAATGATTCAATTATATTGTGCACAACAATACATACAAAAAATGGTTCAATAACATTATAAAATGTACCGAACAAATGGCTACCGCTTAAATCTAAATCGATTATTTCTTTGATTTCTCTCTATTTGATTCTCTTTTAAGTTTTGATAACTTTGTGAATTCGATCATCTTTTCCAAAAAATTATCCAGTCAAGTTCCCGCCTCTTCTGCATGATGTGTCTTCCATTGCACTGATGTAGCCAGAATAAGACACCCCCCAACTTCAAAAATACTTAAACAAAATGAAGCGATCTAAGATACCTAATACAAATGATCCAACCATATGGGTCCTGAGGTGGGGGACTTCGTAAAGGAAAAAAAGTCTCCAAAAAACCATATCTCGTGAGATCGATACACACTCTCTCATATGCATTTGCTATAAGATGGCCCATTTCAGGGAAGGACATCCACTTCTCAAGTGGTGCGCAACCGGTAAGAGTTGGAACAAGAGCATTGTGAATTTTATTGAAATGTTTCTTCCCCTTGTAAAGTCGTAAGTAATCTTCCCTATGCGCCATCAATTCTGAAATAAGTGTTTGTCATAGAAGTGTGTGGTTCTCCTCACCAAGTAAACCAGACACGGCTCAATACTCGCAATTATTGTCCCCACCCCCCACATCTACAATCCTTTCAATATAATTGTGCATAAAAATTGGCATCTCATCAATGTGAATAATCGACGGTGGAATTGGTTGTTTTTTATCGGAGGTGTACGAGGTGGTTTGGTGATGCGTGATCCTTTGAAAATACTTTTTTGCAATTTCGGGGTTGGAGAATCTAAAAAATATGAATCTGTCATACCCCAAATTTGCCCCTCTAGTGTCAATAATCAATTTATTTTAGTTGGTTATTTTTCCTTTTATTTTAATCTTAGGGTTATTATATTTTTACTAACATTGTCATAATTGTTTAGATGTTATAGGGTTAAATTAGGATAAAGGGGTGTAGTCTTTTAAAAAATGGGGGTTTAGTCTTTCAATTCAAAAGATCCATTAAGTTTTTAGGCCCACTAGGTTGGAGGGTTGACCAAAGTCAATATCCGATCTTATTGTTATTATTATTATAATTATCATTTAAAATATTGTCATTTGTTATTATTATTATTGTGTAAGTCATTGTTTAAATATTATTTCTTTATTATAATTATTATTACAATTATTTAAATTATTATTGGATTAATACTGAGATATTTATCACAAAATCATTATTCGTTTTTATTTTAAGTTGACTGAGTCAATTTTAGGATTTCTAAACCTTTTGTTGTGATACGTCCAAGTTGAACTCTTCGTCCCCAAGCTAGCTACCAGGCCCATAACTCAAACAATTTTGGATCAAATCTAAAGCAAATCAAATTTAAAAGTAATTTTGATTGGAATTGTTTATTTATTACAATGAATTTGTACACGATAACATGTCCAAATACGTACAACAAAACCCTAATTATATGACTAAAATCTAATCAAATCTTCTAATTTCTGAATTAAATCTCTGAGATTGATTAAATCTGATCTAACCTGATCAGACTTGGACCGTCACGGCTGGCTCCGAGCTGAAGTTCTGAACGAGGTGGGGGGGGGGGGGGGGTACCTGCAAGGCACTCTGATGCTGAAGTAAGTAAGAGCACGAGCAGGCAATAGTATGAGTATGGGTAGGAGAATGAATACCTGGCCCTCTGGGAACATAGGGTATTTATAGCCCCCAGCGCTGGGTCAAGGTTCCTCCATTGAGCCGAGCAGGTTTGGCCCAATGGAGGAACTGCCAGGTTCTACGTGCATAGTGGGGACCCGCACGTGGTCCCCTTCCTGGATGTTCTGCGTGAAGTACGGACGGACGAGGACGCGGTCTTTTCGGGATCCAGGTGATGGCGTAGTGGATAGAGTCTGCCCTAGGAGGGGTGCTCGAGCTGAGGTCGAGCAGAATAGCATGGAGTCGAGGACGTCGTACTAACAGAAAGTGTCGGGCAAGGGTATGGACTTTTGGTCGGCGTGACCCTTTGTAAGACCGTTTGGTTTGGGCCTTCACCATTGCTTTTGGGCCAGCCCGGCCCAGTCCAGAACAGGAGCCCCCCAAGTCGTGGTTTCTGTAGTAGGAGCCATGACTTGATCTTAGGTCGCCTGCGTCACGGGGTCCAGTTCCCGGCTAGAATATGTCGTTCTCGTGGCTTGCTCGAGGAGTTTTTCCGTGTCGGGCATACGCGATGATGCCGCGCGAGGAGCGCTCGGGGGGTCTCGACAGGCCGCACTCGTTGGGCACATGAGGTATCTCTTGGGAATCGTGCTGCCACCCTACTGACGATAGGGTCATTATTGCCTAGGGGAGCTACACGTCGAGGAGGGAAGTTATGTGGTTCCCCGAGGTGACGTTTGGTATTCCACGTCATCACTATAAATAGGTTGTTTGGGCCCCAGAACGTGTTTTCCCTGTTCGCGTTTCTCCTCTGCACCCTGTTTCTGCTGTTGTTGTTCTTCCCAGATACTCATAGGACCGCCGTGATCTCCGTCGCTGATTTCCTTTCTCTGTCGTCACATTACCTTCCTGATTCCAAGTAAGTGTCTTGTCTCCTTCGTTTTTCCTCCGTGATGCATGATTTTCATTGTTTTCAGACGTTTTTAGAGACTATAAGCCTGGGATTAGCCCGGTAGATTTATACTTAGCTCGATAAATCCATGTTTATGCCCGGCGAACGCGTGTATGCGCCCGGTAAACGCATAGTTTAGGTTTTTGACTCGCAGTGCTGCCCGAGGACTTCATGACTCAGGGTACCTGATTCTTGGTAGTTCCCGGTAAACTCATGGCTCTAGTTTTGAGACCCATGACGTCGCTCGCCACGTTCGCAACCTGGGTCGACACGTTCGTGAGTGGTCGAGATGTTGGCCTATTTAGGCGCTCCGTAGCTTGTCGTGGTGACTGGGAGTCGGGGAGGTGACTGCTTTTTTTTGTTCCGAAACACCAACTTTGTGGTCGCGCATGGAGCGACGTGGTTTGTCGTGCCCTTCATCTTGTTCGTTAAGACGAGTGTGTGGTTTCACTCCCAATTGATTGGTTTCCCGTGCTTTGTAGGTAACCATGGCGGACGAACCGTGTTCTTCAGGGCGCCCCGAGGTGGAAGAACAAAGTGCTGATGAAAATGTGAATTTGGTTGACACCATAGAGGACCCTCTGCTGGAATGGGTGGGTGTCGAGCCCAGAGGGATAGTTTCGGCCTATAGTCGACGTAGTCGAAGGGCATACACCATCCTCGAGGCGGACAGTAGCCAGTCCGATTTCCAGAAGAACTTCGTCGTCACTCGACCAACTTTCACCGCACGAATCTGCTCGGAGTTCCCCGAGTATGGATTCCCCATGTACGAAATTGCCTTCAAGGACCTTGGGTTGCAGCTGCCCTTCAGTGATTTTCAGGTCGGGGTCTTCGGCCATCTGGGGCTGGCCCCGTCGCAGCTTCACTCAAATTCGCTCGCTTTCATCCGGGCGTTCGAGCTAACTTGTCGATTTCTAAGGATTGGGGCGACCATACCCCTCTTCTTCAGAGTCTTCCACCTACAGCGCCAATCCCGGGGAGGTAAGCATAGTT